TATATAATTATATAATATAATATATAATATAATAATATATATATATAATATTATAATAATATATATTTTAATATATATTTTAAAATAATCATTATAATATAATATATATCATATATTATATAATATATATGTTATAATAATCATTATAATATTATATATATATAATATATAATATATCATATATAATAATTGTTATATTAAAGTGGGGTCCAATTATTTACATATGGGCCTATTTATAGTAGTAAAAAGAATATTTGTAGCCAAAAAATGAAGAAGGAGTCACATAGCACGCGCGTGCACTCTACTTCCGTCATCTTTGACGGTTTAGGGTGTTTCGTGCATGCAAAAGTACATTACAAGTGAGTTTGACGCAATTTTTAAATTACAGGGAGATAAAACGCAGATTTAGTATAATACAGGGGGGTTTGGTGCAATTTACCCCTGTTATTTGGATAGTTTTATTAAAAATGAATTTCAATTGTTGATGGTAGAAAAAGAAAGATGAAAAAAGTAGAAAATAAATTATATTGAGAATTTTTTCTTTTTAGTATATCAAATAGCATTTGAAAAATTTGTGGTTTTGTTAGACAAGAAAGAAATAAATAATATTTGGAAAATAAAATGACATATTAGGAAATAGATCTCTTTCATTTCCCTTTTCCTAACTTAGCATGGCTCTCGAAACTCGTACTACTTACCAATATATACTTTTCATCTTGAAATGATTCTTTCCCCTCTTTTTGTACGACTCTTAGGTCTCCTAGGTCACTTGGTCGACCTAGCAGCCTCCTTGTCGTGCTTTGTAGCTAGGTCATAACCGACCTCCACCTCTATGACCTCTGGGTCATGAATGAGCATAATCGAGCCGATACTAAAAAATAGAGCCAAATCGATGTATTCGGTGCAGTGAGGTTTGGTTTTTGAAAACTGCAAATTGCGGTGCTGTTAAAATTTTTTAAAAACACGAATAATTCGGTGTGTTTCAATTTTATGGTCGAAAGGTGCGGTGTTAACTGAATCGCATTGAATGAAGTTTATGTTGTGTTATAGACAGTGTTTTAAAAGTCGCTAGGTGCTCAACCAGCGCCTAGCGTCTAGACTAAGCGTAGGCGGCGCCTAATCGTGCCTAGAAATCAATATTAGTACATTAAATTTTATTTATTTTAATTACCTGCAAAGTAAAATATCTCAACTTATAACTACCTACAATATAAAATATTAAATTTATTATAACAATTTATATATATATATATATATATATA